GTCTGTGTGAATAAAATAAGAAATCCGTGCTTTTTGTTTTTCTTAATTTTTAAGTCAAATTGAAGTTACTGATTCCGTTTTTCTCTCATTCGACAGGAAATCTTATTCACAATTAGCTGACAACTGAGCAAATTTCAGTTTCAAATATTCAGCGAATTATTTTAAAGGACGCACCAAAAAACCCGTACTCCTTTTTACTACTTTCTGAAGATTTATTCCGGCTAGACTATCTCAACCTTAAGATTATTCCATTCGCAATATTGCGCTGTAGAACGTAGACAATTGCGCAACTTTTAGAAATCATGAATTTACGGGAAACATTTAAAGGAAACATGCAAAAATGACTTTTCTCTTGAAGTCGTTTTTTCTTTAAAATTAGGAAGAATAATACTTTCAAGCTCATTCTCAGCGCTTAACTTCATAGTTTGAGTACACTACCATGCATCTCATGTGACCACTTTTAATCCCATAAATCTCTTTGATTTTCTCCGCGTTTCCCCCGTTTTCCGCCCTTGTTTGGTCCCAAAGAGAAAAATGTATGCAAGTAAAGCGCAAAAGTTCAAAATTCAAAGACCGCTCAGGATGTGAGAGTGTCAAACACGTTGAATCATGTCAATATTGTTCACAAGACTCTAGCTCCACAATTTTTTGAGGTATATGCACGAATAGGAAAGAGGACGAAAAAAATGACTGGAGAATGTTGAAAGAGACGTTATGTCATTTTTTGCAACTTTTTTCATTGACTACTTGTTGAAAAAAAAACTTCCCACTGATTGCTTTTTGAGTAAGGAAATTTCCTTATTTTCTCTTCAGTTACCATAGCATATCAAAACAACCATTTTTTGCAAAGGTTCTTAGTTAAAATCATTACTAATTCTTTTCCCTTGTCTCTGGAGTATCGAAGCTATGCGCGAGGATCACAAGGAAAAAGGGCTCAGACGCTGCATATTCAAGCGAATTCCCGGAAATAAGCCATTACTGAATGAGTAAAGATTTTCTATAACTTGTAATTCTAAATTTGTTTGGCTTTGTCAAAGTACGAGCGAAAATCAAGGCCAATTACGCTGAAAATTTTCAAACTAATTTTCTAGGTGAACCAGCTTTTTTCTGCAGTTGGCTATTCCTCTACTCACTGTGTTACAGATATCTGTCCTGAAGGCAGAGCTATCTTTCGAGCAAAAGAGACATCATTACCTCGCCGGTGTTTGATGAATGTACCAAGAGAATGCGCAGAGGGTTTCAGTTGTCAGTCGAGAATCAGAGGAGCTACACAGGGATTCTGCTGTTCAGAAAAAAGAAAGGATTCTTCTTCTTTATGTGTTGTCAATTCTTCTTCAAAAGGACAAAACCTTTAGTTTAAGGCGTGTGTAAGGATAACGCGAGATTCCTCTTGGATGATGGGACAAAAATGCCTAAGATTTGCAGCCACGGATTATTTAGCAACTGCCCCCCAGGATACAGTTGTCAGCTTCGTATGCCACTTTTATCCAGCGGATTCTGCTGCAAAGTTAGCGGCAACGTAGTAACAGGTGATGTCACTAATTTGTAAATAATTTGCTCCAAATAAGCTTCGCAACGCATTGTAGAAGGTTGTCCTCCTGGCGAATATGCACTAACAAGAGATGATAAGATCGTCGATTGTGACCCATTTAGCAGTAAAAGTAGCTGCCCACTCACGTTCTCGTGTCAGTATGCCGTGGCCTTCCGGAGGTATCAATGCTGTGGTACCCAACCGCCAGAGGAACAGGAGAAGATCCAACGAGGTTACGTTTGTTTAGGATCAAAAAAAATTACTTTATTCATTGACTTGTAGAGAATGGATGTCCACCGTCGCAGGTCGCTTTCCTTGAAGGAAATAGACCATTGATGTGCACATCCACAGGAGATAACTGTCCTTTTGGATATTTTTGCCAGTTTTCTGACAAAAATAAACATTTCCAGTGCTGCGGACATAAAGCAGGTGAGGAAGGTTTGTCACTTTCAACCAAGATGCTCAATAAGAGCACAATGGCGCGTAACTTGCTAGCCAAAATTGAAACGAACATGTTAATTGTCTATCACTATTTAAAAAACAATAAATGAAAGGATTTAGTTCTTAACATTCCTTCAATTTATAACACTTTTCATAAAGGTTGTCCAAGAGATTCTGTGGCTTTCTTGGATCTGACTGGAAACGCCATGACATGCTCGAAAGGAGGAAAAACATGCCCGGATGGCTATTCATGTCAAATGGTAGAACACGGAGGCTACGTGTGCTGCACAAGCGATACAATAAATACAGATTCGATGAGAGAACGAGGAAATCAAACGGTATCTATTTGATTATCTTTATTCTCTGAATAATATCAAGATTTTTGACTTTAAATGTGTATAAGAAATTTTCGAATATGTTCCTAGAAATTAGGAGTTCACTGGTATCACGATATCTTTACCATCCAATTATGATTGCTATGTAGTTGT